AGCACTGCAGGGTCTTGACTACTGACAAAGTGGTGAGGTAAGCAGTCGCGCACATGATCACACACAAAGTGAACCACAATAGCGCAAACCAACATGATGTAGTAGTAGTAGTAGTAGTAGGAGGAGGAGGAGGAGGAGGAGCAGTAGCAGTAGCAGTAGCAGTAGTAGCAGCAGCAGCAGCAGCAGTGGCAGTGGCAGCAGTGAGAAAAGCCAATAACGCAGCCACAATCACTACGATCGACAACAACATCACCACCACTTGCCATTGCCATCGTCATCATCGTCATCTTGACCACTCAGAGTTGCAAGCACGTCTAGCATCGACTGATTTTGGGGAGATTTTGCTTCACGCTCTTGGACGAGATTCTGGTCCGCCGTGTAGTCCTCGTCCAACTTTGCCTTGGTTGCCTGTGCTCTTAACAGAATTCGAAGGCGACAGCCGCCGCACGAATCACAAAGGCTCAATCCTGCAATCATCAATGTCACAAACGCCGCGGTTATTGGCCCCTCCCTCGGAAAGCTGTTGCCTTGCCTCCTTCTCCGCCTTTTGGCTCAGGGTCGAGCTCCTCCATTCAGGCGTTGCGCTTCGTGAGGGCTGGCTTACCTTTAAACCATGCAATCAATGCTTTAACGTGGCAGCAGAGCCCCTGTTGCTTGCTCTCCAGCACCCTAGCGGCGCTAACCTCCCATCCCCGCGGGCTCTTGAAGGTGCCCTTCTTTTCTGTAGCCTTCTTGGAGACATCCTGACAGGATCTGGCGTCTTGAAGCAAGGTTCATCGGACAAATGAAGCACGAAGGACTCCAAGATGTACTGCACGTGTATTAATATGTTGTCGGCATGCTTGCAGTCTGCCTGCAACCCTGGCACCAACATTTCATCAACAACTGGGCATTCACCCCTGCCAGCGAAAGACTAGCAAGGCAAGAGGCAATCCCATTGTTCAGGCTCGTCAGCAGAAGGTTGTAGCCTGGAGCTGGCATGCATGGGATCCACTGAGCCGGCATGTCTCCCTTGAGCACAGGTGTGCTGCCGTGGTCACACTGCATGGGCACTGCAAAGTCCAAGGCTTCAATGAATCTGAGCTGCTGTTCTTCTTCTTGGTCTCGGCCATCTCAGCCTCGGCCGTCTGGTTGACGAACTTGGCTTGAAGCATCTTCAGCATCTCGATGACGTTCCCGGACTGGAACCTGCTGAGCATTGCCGGCTGTCCTCTAGCATGGCCACAGATCCACTGCCAGGACAGGATTCGCAGCAGTGGCGATGAGTGGCTCGTCTGAGTCTTCAGCAAGCCTGTTCGATTGTGGTTTCGGTTTTCTGAGGCCGGGTCTCATACGCATCTGCTTTGGGGGCGGTTGGCTTCTCCATGGAGAACACCTCGGGCCAAGCAGGCAGCGTGCAATTTCAAGCTTTTGTGTTCTGCAACAACAACACCTGCTGCTTCTGCACTAGCGGTATGGGCATCTGTAGCAGGGGAGCAATGGTCCACAGTCCACGGCAGAATGGCAGCCGTAGGTGATCGGAGCGGCAGGGGCAAGCAGTGCAGCAATAAAAGAGGAAGATCAAACCGACACCAATCATACCATCTCTCTTTCTCTCTCACATACGACGAGCAGTCTTGGCTTGTACGCTTTTGCTGCCAAGGCGCAAGATGACTCAGCCGTAGCTCAAAACATCCACTAACGCAGTCCCAAACTCCAAACTTGCTTTGGCCGGCCTTGGACAAGCTGTCCAAGTCCTCTTCGGAGAGGTGCGCGAGCTCTGCAGCACGGTGCACCTTCCCGGGTCCAACCAGTCTGCCAGACTTCAGGTTGTTGCAGCCCGGGCACTGCCACCCGGCAATTTCGGATGGCATCCTTCGGATCTCCTTCTGTCACGTCGTTAGCTTATGCTTGCTGTCTACTCGGCCTGTCGCCTTCGCAAGCAGGTGAGCACACTTCAGAAAATCAAATTCGTCTCACCTGTGGCGTTAACAGCCAGACAACGCATGTTTCGGCAAAGCCTTGCTATGGGGGTGGTGGGGTCAAGCCACATGGTGTTAAGCCCTATATATGTCTAGGCTGCCAGTGAATACTGTTGTAAAGCTGTGACTTCCTGCCCGTGACTGTGCACTCCTTTCTGAAGATGTTCTCGCAACCCTATGGCCCACGCGAAAGAGGTTGAACCCCGTGCACCTGAACCAAGACCTGCTCCCGGTCATAGTCCTGCATGCCGTTTCCGCTTGAGCTTCATCACTTAGGGAAGCATATGTGTATTGAATTCGGAAGCTGTTCGGCAAAGGCCTGCTCCTGCAAGGTCTTCAGGGCAGCATCAATTGCCTGTACATAAAGCGAGCACTCCCCACAAGGACAGGCTCAGGTTCTATCGCAACAACAAGAAACACTATTCTAATCAGAATGAAGCTGATTCTGGCTGAATTCGCGCTGTAAGAAATATTGCTAATGCTCATCGAAGCTCATGTGATAGTCATAATCTCTACCACAGCACACAAATTCAAAGAGTAATCATAGCAGTACGTAGCACCATCCCGGTAGCATCTTCTGTGTGAGCTGCTGTCACGGACTCTCCCAGGTCGGTCTTCAAGGCGTCGTAGTCGGCTGCTTCAGCCTCACGGACCTGATCCCACCAAGTCCCGGATACTGTAGTAGTACTGTAGTACTAGCTTTAGCTTGTCCAACCTTCCGGTGAGGGTTAGCCGTTTAGTCACTGTCTCTGCCAAGATGAAACATGCATTTTGACTTTGAGTCGCGGTGCTTCCGTGGCATTGGCCTTGCTCTTCTCCAGCTTGGCAGTATGGGCCTGTGCTGGGACGACAGGTTTTCGCAAAATGCACAGGCCAAGCTCCTGAGCAGACTCTGATGCGACGGAGTTTGATATCTTTCAACTTGGAAGAGGAGCGTTTCTGGCTTCTCGGTACGAAACAAGCCGTCGCCTCGGTTTAGGGCCTTCTTTGCCTCCCACCTAGCTAGGACGAGCCCGCATTGCAGGGTTAAGTCACTTTTAGGGGGCCGATTCGCGGCGGTAGCTCAAGTCAGCCGCCGCGGCAGCAGCAGCCGCACTCCGCTACAGTACAAGTCATCGACTCCTGTTGCTCCTCCGCCTCCTCGCCTTCACCATCATCGTTGCCATGTCCATTCTAATTTGCTGTTTGTTTTCCGCAGCGGTCAGAGGGATCTCTGAAGCCTGTGGAAGGCCAAACCACGGCAAACGTAGACCTGAGACAAAAAAGCCTGAGGTAGAGCTGAACCTGAGGACTTGAAAGCGACAGTTGGCCCAGCGGCCTCGTGGCCGGCAATCTCCTCCGAGAGTCGAGAGGCCTGGTCACCAGTCTCTCGGACTGCATGAGTCGTATGCAGGTGCACTCAAGACCAATAGGAGGTTTGATAGCCGTAGTGTGCTCATCGAGTAGTTCATGTGTAATTGCCAAATCGTGCTAGAATGGCATGCTCGAAGCATGATGCGTCCCAGTCCTAAGGTCCTACGCTTGATCGACAGTGCCTACAGCTGTTTGGATGCTGCACCTCTGCATCTAAGCTGTCAATGTCCGTGCTGGTCAACTCGATCTTGTTGGAAAGCTCCTGCGCGAAAGGCTCGTTCACCCTGTTCCCGCATTTTATCCCACATATTGGCCAAACAGATATCTGCCGCTCAGCTGTTGACATGTGTGTTTCGCGGCAGTTGTGCTTCCTTGAGATCAGCTCTTTTGTAGCCCGACTCGCTTGTGCAGAACCTCAATGCGATGTCGGCAGCCGCCAGAACTCTTACTGTGTGAACGATAAAACGGCGTGTCATTGGGAAAGGAGCAGACAAAGCTATCAAGGATGATGAGGCACCGACTGCTCGAACTTTGCGAACTGTATTTTCTCGTCCTGCATTTCCTGCTGCTCGTGATCTCGGAACACTCTCATTGGAAAGCTGATGCCATGTTCTGAAAAAGAAATCGAGCCTTGGACTTGGTGGTTTTCATACCTTGGGAGCACAGAAACTTCACCAAAACGTGGAGGAACCGGGCTTGCATCCGCGATTAAGTCCAAACACTCTCGAGGGCTGTGAGGACCTGCTGCACGACAAACAACAGGAATAAGCTACAGCTGTCCATAAATTGCCTTGGTTTCTGCTACTGGTACAGTAACGTTGGATGAGCAGAGACATGCGTCCACGTCTGTGCAGGTGTCGCTGTTGAGCCTTGCCTTCTGGACGGGTGTGGCAGCGCCATTAGCAGTGACGACAAGGACCAACGCCAAAGCCTCTGCCCAACAAGCGTCAATTGGAGCCATTCCAACAGGCTCGCTAAGCTTCGCACTCGCACCCACTGCATTCTGCACGGCATCGCTCCGATGCCCGCAACTCTACGTTGAAGCCGAAACGGCTGGAAGAAGCACGGAGTCGTGGTTATCAGGTACGACTTTAGAACTTTCAATGTAGAAGAGACGCACATGTCACATGTCCCCCTCCGCTGAAGCCGTGTTGCCACTTCCTGCTGGAGCCTCGGGCCTCTTCGGCTGCCGATGACATGGCCAAACCCGTCCAGGCTGTGATTTGCTCCTGTCCGCCGGACTAAATTGAGACGAAAATAGCACAGCTGCAGATTGCTCCTGCTGCCGCTCTGAGAAGTACTGGGAAGCTGAATCCAAAGCTTCTGCGAAGTCTGTGGCGACGTCCTTCCGAAAAGCGGCTGACAATGGTTTCTGCCCCACGAGACATTTCGTACGTTCTCAAGCCCGCCTGTGGGGCTTCGGCGAGCGTGTCCCGAAACTTTCTCGTGCCCATGGCCATGTAAATCTGCGAGCCTCATGCCGTAAAATGTGAGCACCAGCAGAGTCATGGAAAGAGGCAAGAACTAATGAGGCTTCGTACAGTGAACACAAACTCTTCGTTTTACTTCCGTGCCTGCTGCAGGAGGTCAGCTCCGACATAGAGGTATACTCGTTAGGAGAAGCCTGCAACCTGTCATACCCGTGTACAAGACGATGCAAGGCCCTGAAGGAACTGCATTACACAAAGGGGCGCAAAAGTTGAGGCGCACCCTCACGACAGAGAGAGTATGCTTGAAGCTTCAACATCGAATGCTAGAAACAGTCAAGGACAGAACTACAGCCGCAGAAGCAAACACACGCACACACACACACACCCACACCAGGAAGTAAAGACACAACTCGTGTGCACTGGAGTTGATCCGTTTCGAGTTCACCGTTGCTGTGCAACTCTCGCATTCAACCTGCAATCGACTGAGGAAAATCCCAGACACCAGCAACAAACACTGTCTTGCCGAATCCGTCTTCGCTTTGGCTGAGACTCTGCTCTCTGGGGCACCTGCTCGTGCTTTCAAGCTTGCTCCTCCAATCTTTGCAGGGTTGAGCTGATGCAAAGGCTTCCGGCTTTGGATTGGCCACAAATACACAGACGGCAAGCATGCGCAGGTCGCCTTGCCTGTGCACTTGGCCGAGCTTGCGGAGCGCTTTGCTGACCGTCTCCACGCTGATCCCGCCCGCCTCTTCCGAACGTGCAAGACTCCTGGTGAAAACGTCGTTGTGAGACAACGGTGGAGTTGAGATTCTGGCAGGCACAGTACGGCGTTGACAGGACATCTTCGAGCTTATTTTGAATGCTGCAGCGTTGCAAAGCCCCCCTACCCCTCCCCCGTGATACGATAGGGTCCCCCCTTCCTTCCTTTAGATCACCGGCGCCTGCGCTGTCTTCCCGGGAGCGGGAGGCCGGCCGGCAGCTTTTCCAGCGCGAGCTGGCGAACCGGGACAGTTTCCGAACCCGACCATCCACAGCTGGTGCCATACAGCGTTTTTCGACAGGAAATGTGGCTGGTCCTCGGGGCTCATTCTGCACGGAGAGATCGAAGAGACCTGTGCCTCAGCACAGAAGCTCTCTATACATTTCATTCGAAGCTTTCGCACTACTGTTCAGGATCGTTGCAGTTTCTAGGACTTTGCCCAAAGTATCGGGTCAGACTCACACTCCGCAGGAGTTTGCAATCCGGGCGAGTGGAAATCGCCAATGGCTCAGCCTAGCTTCGGCATCCAAGCCTCGCAGTCTCGGAGTCTCGTGTGATGCAAAGGGTCCCCTGAGTTGGCTTTTTACCAGCCCATATGGGAATGGCGAGATGCCATCTACCGAGAAATGGCACCCGTTTGCTGTCAGTACTGTGTGTGTGTGCGTGCACGCACAGGCTCGGCAAGCACAGGTCAGTACCTTCGCCAGACATGGGGAAACCGGTTCGGCGCCTCAATGACGCATGCTGAGGGACTGAGCCCGACCGGGTTGGACCACCACCACCACCACCAGAGTGGACGACAGCAGAAAAGTGCTTAAGTTGATCTTCTATTGCTGCATTCATTCTGAACTGTTGCCTGCACTGTCATTAGTATTGACTCTATTGATGTTGGCTATGTATTGCGTGGTGGCACTCAACTTTTGAAAACTTGCATGAATAGCTTGGCGACAGCACTGTACTCTGACCCCGGCCATCACTCGAAGTTTCCACACGCACTTCTTCACCGAAGGGCGCTGCCACCACCTCAAGTACATCCAGATGTCCTACTACCTCCAGCTCACACATACTCTGGCCGCTTTGCCCAGGATGCAAGCGACATGAAAGCTGTGATTATGGTTGGCAGGCACCCCGACCATCTCCTCCTGGTACCGCAGGCGCAGCTGCTTCAGAAACTCCTCTGGCTCTCTGAAAACAGCAAATGCCCTAAGTGGCGATGTTCGTGATTTCAGGATTCAAACGCATAATTCAGTCATCTGTCTTCATCTGTAGTCTGCGATGTCAGCTTCTCTTTTGCGTCTCGAAAGCTTGCGTGCTGAAGCACGAGAACAAACGCGGAAGCCGGCTGAAGTTCTGAAGGGTGCTAGCAAGCATTGCTTTTCGCATTGGGCAGCCGGTCGCACAGCAGCTCGAATCTGAGATGCGGCTAAAGATTCAACCCTCGAGCCATTTCATGCCAAGAACCTTGACTGCATGCTTTTATGGCCACCACCAGCGTCGCTCTTACATCGCTCCTGGAACAGAAGTTGCGCCTCTGTTTCATCCATGGCCTGGCAAATGACTGAGCTTCAGCGCAGGAAGACGTGCAATTGCAAAGCAAGATATCTCACATCAAGGCCTCGCGCTGGGACGGCTGCGGCCCAGGAAACGTGGCATCTTGGAAAAGGAGCAAAATGTGCAATGCTGCAGAGCCCCAACTCCCAAGCAGCTGCGTTCCCGAACACTGAGCACAGCGCGAAGCGACTGCTGGAGGACGACAAGCACCTTCCCAACCATCCAGCAACCACCACAAAACGGATCAGGTTCTGGCTTGCATTCCGCCTCGTAGCCACAGTCCACGATGTTACTTGGCCTTGGCCTGCCGAGCTACTGAGTACTGACTTGGCGGTCCCCGACAGGGAGGATGAGTCCAGCCCTTCCCTCAAATTCCTAAGAGTCCAACAGAACAACTGCGCTTTTGTCATTACATGTTTGTACCAGTCGCGACGACATTTGACATGTATAGCCTTGACGTGGGCATTGCTAACGTTGTGTCATGCCTTGACATCGTGCATCTGCTACATACATACATACGTACATACACAGCTGCCCGCAGGTACTATTTTATGCTTGTGTTTGCCTGCTTTGTGTGTGTGTGTTCTCACATCTGTGGGCGAGTGGCCGAGCGGGTTTGCAGCGCCGCGCGGGAAGATGAATGATGGCGACAAAGTTGACACCGAATGACAAACTTGAATTGAGGCTGGGACGGATCTGCATTGCTGTCGCCATCGCCGCCTGGATTGTTGGCAGCAGAATGTGTCTTTAGGGTCAGGCTTCTTCTGATGGCCGAGAGGTGCTTGTATGCGATGCTTGGGTAGAGAACCCTACCCTCCTGCACAATTCTGGAGCTAGTGGGGAACAAAAGTAGAATGACTTCCAACAGTTCCACTCAAGCCAAGTTGATCTGCTGTTGCATGCTGCTTATGCGTACAAGGCTTGCTAAGAAGAACGTGTGCTCATTTCATCTCATTTCATTGCTGACACGCTGCCCACGTTCCAAAGGCATGGGTTGCCTTCAAAACTTTCAGTGGCCCACTGGCCCAAGCCCTAGCGACTCTAGGCTGGAAGATCTCATTCAGGTAGGACATGTAATGACATGGACAAACATGTGCAAGAAACTCCACTCATAGTGCTAATGTCCACTTGCCGACGCTGGAGGCAGCACATGCCCCTGTGGCCTTTCACGACATGTCCCGACCGCTCTTCTGGTTTGTAAATTCAGCGAATTGCCCCAAGCCCAAACCCTTCATAGACTCGCTCTACGGCATGGGTTATCGCACCTGGAGGTGTCGAGCGTGGTGCTCTCAAGATTTCCCCTGTACAGCTGTGACAAGGACTCAAGGCCCCGGCCTACTGGCGACATATCCGGCCACAGCTGCACCTTCGCGACCTGTGCAGTCGAGTCTGCCAACGACATGCGGCAGGTTTGCCAAAGACATATAGAGGACGGCAAGCGTTCCTATTGCGAAGGGAGCTCTCCGACCTTCGCGGCCAGGGTCTTCAGCTCATCGCCAGTGTCTCCGTCCCTGACCGACTATGAGACCGTGGTCAATCAAAACCTCCCTGGTGAGAGGTCTGCATCCAACCCGTGAAGAATATGAAGAATAAGGGACAGCAAACGCAACGTGTGAGCCAACTGCAAAGCTCCCTCTGCGCCGCTTGCCCTGTTGTGCCTGAAACCAATGTATAGCACAAGTCCAACGCCAATCCGATTGACGACCAAGCCATTCACCTGCGCGTGCACTTGAGGCCTCTTCTCTCCATGTTAGAAACCTGCTGTCACTTAGACTTGAGGTCCTTGAGGTGCCCATTTGACACTCCCACCCCACAGATTTGCCTGAACTGCAGCACTTCTCACTTTCTGCCTTAGCCCAGTGAGGATCTGACGGTTGTGCGAACAGTTGCGCGTATAAGCGAGGCTTCGCTGCACTGAGCTGTGGACAAGAGGAGTTTCATGGCCGGAGCATGGTTCTGAAGGCACGGCCAACTGTGTGTCAAGGTCTGTCTCCGTGTGGTCTTAGGGGATCCCAGGGGTTGGATGCCTTGTTTGACTGTGTGTGATTAGGCCCACGAGTGTGTTTGCATGCTGCAATCGTGCGATTCTTTGCAACCTACAAATACGGGTTCGAGGCCTCGTGATGCGAATGGCAAGTCACGTTGCAGCTGGGTTACTTCGATTCGATGTCAAAAACGGCCATGTGCATGGACATCATGGACTCGGACAGGGTAACTGCCAAAACCGAGTGCAGACATGAAATCACTTCCCCCGCCCCTCCCCCCCGACAGCCAAGGCTTCATTTTGCATGCACTGGGCAAAGGATCCATACAGCACTCTGGCCCAGAGTACAGCTCCAGCGAAGTGCAAATCCTGCATGCTGCACGTCCTGATCCGACACGAGCTCCGGGCAAATCAAAGCAATGACTGCCTCGGGAAACTCACGCATCAAGTTGCGGATGATCTGCAGCGAAGTGTCAGAACCGGAGCCGATGCGCCAACCCCATGGTGGGTTGGCAACCACGACATCGGGTTGCAGTTGTAAGTCTGCGAAGCTGGTCGTCGCATCGTGAACCAACACTTGAATCTCTGTTCCAAAGCTGCACAGCCTGAAGTTCTCTTCTGCACGCTCAGCAAAGGCAGAGTTTATGTCACTGGCAATGACATTGGCAAACCTGCCCGAGGCTGCGGCAACAGCTGCAAGCGTACCACTTCCACAGCAGGCATCCAACAGGGACCGCGCAGCCCTGGATCCCTTGCCCTTCTCGCACTCCAGCAAAGCGATGGAGATGACTGCGCTGGCCACCCAAGAATCAAGCCCCGCGGAAAACTTGAAGTTCCGACCAGACCACATCTGGTGCCACGATGCTGGCAGGCAGGGGCCGTTCGCGATTGCAACCTCCTGGCCGACCAAATACGAAGTACTACCTGCCTGGAAAGCCACCAAGTGGACATGCCCTGGCCCCGAAGATTGTCGTTGAAGCTTCCTGGCTAAGTCAGGCCCAGCGACAGCAATTACGTCCAATGCCATGTCTGCTCCGTGGCAGGTTTTCAAAGGCAGCAGCGAGGCATCGACTGGAGGCTCACGGAGCAGGACCTCCAACCACCAAGTACTACATCCTTGCAAGGCCAAAAACTCGGCAACAGCTGCGGCAAGCTCCGAGGAGGTTTCGAATGCTGCATGCTTGGACAGCCTCACCGGCGGCCTTCGAAGCGCGGTCAGGCTGCGGGCAGCACTCAAGAAGGACTGCTCCAAAGATCCTTCTCTTGTTGCAAGCACCACCAAGCCGGGTGCTACTTCCCTCCAGCGTGATGGCTGAATTCCAGCATGCAGCGCCGCAACCTCGAATTCCAAAGCCATGAGTGCCGCTTCCTTGCTTCGGGAGCCCTGCGCTCGGAGGAAGAGGACCCAAACCTCTTCGGCGCCGAAAAGCTTTAAGGACTCAGTCAGCTCCTTCGTTGACCTGGGCATCTCTGCCATAGCACGCCTCCATGCGCGCCGCCCTTCACCAACCGAGGTTGCAGGTGGCGGTCGTGACATCAAGGGAGAAGCCTGGCAATCGTCTGCTTGTCGTGCGAAAGACTCTTTCGCAGACGCTTCCGACGTCCGTCGTACCATGCCCTGCATGAGCCGGGCAGATGGCTCCTCGGTCTCTGCGGGCTCATAGATGAAGTCCGCACCTTGAAGTAGGAAAGCGACTAGGCGGTTTGCCATGCACCGCTTTCTTACAGCCTTGGCCGTCTGTGAAGTGGCTGTGGCTGCAGATGTCTCTACCAATAAAGCCCCGAGCTCAGGCACGATGGCAACGGCATCCTGTTCGTACCGCGGGAAGAAGCCTCTGTTCAGGGCGGCTTCCGTTTAGCACGCTTGCTGTGTCTTTCCAGTTGGACTTAGTCTGTGAACTTTGTCATCGCAGGCCCCACGTGCATAAACAGGATATGTTATGATAACACCAAAGCAAAACATCATTACTCAATGCAAAGCCACGAATATGCCGGAGCAGCTCCTTTTCCAGGGCGATGGTCAGCCACGCTACAGGCACGGCACCACCTTGAGAACCACTGGGGTGTCGCTCGAAGCGGGAGACCAAGGCAGAACGCAAGAATTTGGACTCTTCCGGGAATTCTTGTTGGCTGTCCGCTGCGTTAGATCCTTCCAGTGGGACGAAGGAGCAAGTCTCTGATTCTGATCGTTGCAATCGTATCACTGGCTCACCAGAGCTGGCTGCCTGCTCGTCCAAAGACTCCAAGTTCTCTAAGGACAAGCCATACGGCTGTGCAGCAGAACAAAGCCGAAGAAGGCTAGCATCCGACGCCTTGCTCTTCCAGTCTTTCCAGATCTTCGAATGGCGCCTTCGAAGCTCATCACCGGCGATGGATACAGGCAGCTCCCCTCCATGAAGCAGAAGCACCTGGCACAAAGCCTGCAAAACTCGTTTCCCTAGTTCAGGGCGGCCTCCAGTTCTTGCACCTTCCTCGGAGCTCACTGGCAAAGAACTGTGGTCCATGGCAGCGGGAAGTATTTGCCCAACAGGCTTGCATCTCGCGACGCTGAGCTCTGAGCCATCTCATTCGGCAGGGCAATCGGCAGGTGTGAGCTGCGGGGGTAGAAGTAAGCCATCTGCCACTGAACTTATCAATCAAGAGTGCAGCGAAACCATCCTGTTAAAGTTTCGCTACTCTGTACCTTTACGACGTTGCTTCTTCGCACGAGGCTAGGCTCTCGCAGCCCGAAATTCCTCACTCAACCCCCTGCTGCCCAAAATCGCGTGAGCAAAGTAAACAGCTCCTTTTGCACCGAGGCTAGGTCACTCCAAGCTTTCGGCGGCTCTGCTGCCATCCAGCTCCTCGTAACTCTGGCTTCTGTGTTATTCTAGAGCATTGACAAGACATACAGAACACTTCTCCACTCCAGAAAGCAGGGCTCTCTCGTTTTGGCATTGTGCCTGAACGCTGCCTCTGAGCGCAGTGGGCGAACCTGCCCCAAAGCTCCGCGGAGGTCGCAGGGCAAAGGCTCCCTGACCTCCCAAACTTCGAGTTGATGAAAGGACCGAAGGTAGGTTTGGAGGCTACATGTGCTCCACTACATGCTGGCTCAGACTTGACAAACTCTCCTCCAAATATGGTCATCATCGCTGCTGGCCCTGATTTATTCTAACCAGCCGTAGCCGTAGTCGTCGTAGCATGAGTCGCATTCGCAGCAGCAGCAGTAGCAGCAGTGGTAGTCGCAGTGGTAGTTGCAGTCGTCGCAGAAGCAGAGGAGCTAGCAGAAGTGGCAATACTGGCACCGGTCGCAGGAGCACTGGCAAAGGGCATCGCCGTTGCCGCAGTAGTATAGGAAACCCTTTGCATCCCGTTTGGGCTCGCCTCTGCAGGCCGAGCATCACGGTCCAAGAAAGTCAAGCGATAGCGGTGAAGGAAGTTTCGCGGGCACCAGGCCAGGTCCTAAACCAATCCGACTGGCAAAGCGGCTGCGGGCTTCTGAAGCTTCAGGGGTGCAATTCCTATCGGACATCCCTTGTAAAGATCCCCGCCCAGGTCCTGCAAGCAGTTCGGGAGGGAGAAGTATCCTGAGAGGTACACGAAACTCGAAACATGCGAGGCTCATCCTTAGAGCCTGCTACGAGGCAACCTGCACTTCAATAGTGTTGCGATAAATGCGGTTGACTTTGCCCTCCCCATCGAGCCCCAACGCGTCCGATGCAGGGAAAAGGAAACGTTCATGTCATGGCAGAGCTTTGAATGCAGCTTCTTTGGCTAAGTTGCTCTTGTCGGCGACGGTGGGGTGGCCGACATGGGACATCTGCAGTCGGATCTGGTGCTGCCGGCCGGTGAGAATGTGAATAGCGAGCCTCACCGAAGTCGGGCATTGCTGGCAATTCACTATGGCTGGATTCGATATGATGCCAAGGCGGATTTATCGATAAACGTTTGCTTCCAACCGCCGCCTGATATGCTAGGTGAGACCTTCTCTTTCTGCTGCTGCTGCCGCTGCTGTCAATGTCGCGGCCGTCGTCGCTGCACCACGGTCCAAACTGTGAGTATGCTTATGCGGCTTATGCGCATACCATGCTCATCTGTTAAACTGCTAAACTCTTCTCCACAGTCGAATCAAGACGAGGACAACCACTGCTTCAGCCACGTCTGATTAGGCTGGGGGCTTAAGTGTTAAGCAGTCAGAGGCACCAAAAGAGCCAGGCGGCAGGCTCAACACCAGCTCGGTGAAATGCCCCACGCCCAGGACCTGCCGAGTCTTGTGTCCCAAACCATGCCCCAGTGGTCGATGACGAGGCTCTTGACATCCAAGGCTAATGGCTCAGGCGCTGCAGAACGTGAGCTCGGAGGTGGTTGAAATGACCCACGAAAACAAAACAGCGAGACTGTTGGACAACAGCTGTGTCTGATGGCATGGCGAGTTTCTGGCCTCCCCATGTGTGCAGGTGCTTCTACGCTAGTTTTTTTTTTGGACGGATGGAGGAAGAATCGCTGTTCGACTTGGGCCTTGAGCTTTGAGCTAGCTGGGCGTCCAGCAGCTGCGACGATGCTGGCGGCCTCCCAGGTTGGCAGAGGAAGCACTGATTTCGACTTGCGGCTTGCGGAGGTGCCTGTCTTCCATTTCCGAACCAGTGGACCTGGCGGTGGGCGAATCATTTGACGGCACCGTACCGTATGATTGACACCACTTGTATCCAGTAACTGGATACTCGGATACATTTCTTTCCATCGTATCCCATCCTATTCTCCAGGCTTTTTTCAAGCCCAGACACGCGGCAGCGAATGGTGCTTCGCGCAAACGGCGCGAAGCCATGGCTAAGAACACCTTGCAACAGGGGATGCTCGCCCTATGTGGTTCTCCAGCAAGAACTTCAGGTGCTCCGACTTGCCGGCTAAGGGGCAATACTCTCTCTTCATCTGACCGAGTGACAACTGCAGCCTCAAATCCTTAGTCTTAGAGTATCTGGGAAAAATGCTTACGGACGTCAATTGTTGATGTCACCTTGCTGAATCGGCAAGCAGCATAGAAGGCGCAGTGTGTCTTGGCTGTGAGAATCAAGCCCGATGTAGGGATGTCCAAACCTGCCAAACATTAAGCAGCCTCATTCGCTCATCTCTCTTGTCAGCAACTGCTTGTGGAGCCAACAGCACGTAGTACTTCCGAGGAGCGATGCAAGAAGCCACGGCTGTGACTTCGATCCTGTGGCGGACTCTTCATGCATGACGCAGCCCATTTCCACACTCAGAAGTGCAGGCTGTCGCCTCCAGAGTCGGCCAGCAGCGAGGTGGGTAGAGGGCCTGGAAGCCAAAATTGTTAACCCTGTGCCAAAGCTTGCACGGAAATGCATGCGGAAGCGTCGTTTGCTATGCTTGCCCCGTCATTTTGCATGTGCAGGAACCAGGGCAAAAGCGCTGAGCCATTTGGAGCGCGGCCGTAAGAGGAACAAGGCACTGGCCGGAGGTTCACCATATAATGCGGCTAATTAATACTGGGACAAGCTAAGCTTCACAAAAGGCTTGGTGCAGTCGCACGGACAGACTTCTTTTGTCCACTCTTCCCTTCCGGACGGTGGCGAACTCTGTCCCGGGCTTCGCCCGCTGCGCACTCGAGCTGCGTAGCTCGAACTAACGAAAGGCTTCACAGGAGGCGCGAACGAACGAACCGGAACTGTAACTCCGGGTGGGAGAGGTGGGAGAAACAAAAAGCGAACACCTAACTCGAACTGCTCCGCTCTCTGTGCTGCGAACATGTTGTGTTCGCTCGACCCTCGCTCTAGCAGTTCTAGTTACGCAACCCTGTCACTGCGAACACACGTGTTCTGCACGACAAGCTAAGCTTCACAAAAGGCTTGGTGCAGTCGCACGGACAGACTTCTTTTGTCCACTCTTCCCTTCCGGACGGTGGCGAACTCTGTCCCGGGCTTCGCCCGCTGCGCACTCGAACTGCGTAGCTCGAACTAACGAAAGGCTTCACAGGAGGCGCGAACGAACGAACCACCCTCAGCGCGCCTCGAAGCCACCCTCCGCGCGCTCGTGAAGGGGAAGCGCGGGAGCAGCGACCAACTGAGCGAACTCTTCGTCGTAGTTTCTGTAATTAGTCGTCCTGGAACTTCTTCAAGAGCGACCACGCCGAGTTAAACGGCACTTCGTGGAACGCGCCCCCGACGGCCTCAAGCTCGCTCAGATCTCCTCTGGAGATGCCGTCGGAGATGTTCTCTGCGCTCGGCACTCTGTGGAACGAAACAGAAAGCCATCGTGAAGCAGCTCACACCCAAAAAGCTCCCATCACTGCCGAGAGACGAAGGTCCTTGGAGTATCCTTTGTTCAATGCGTGCTCCGCGGACGTATTATCGATCCAGCAGACCATGTGAGATGCGACCCTGTCACTCACTGCTGCTATTGAGAGGATCTGAGCTAACGCTTCCAGCCAGAAAATGTATGCCCTGGAGGATGCCAAATCTGCTAAGACCTCGACTGGGACCTCGCCGCGAAAACCCACTGTCTTGCTGCCCTGGACAGCCACTATGCCCCCGAAGCCGTTGGTAGACTGCCTGAGCTCTTCCAACGGAGGCAAGTCTTGTAGCCACTTGCTGGCGCTTCTGCGAACTCCATGCAGTGTGATGAGAATGCATCTGCCTACAGATGCGCCACAGGTCTTGACCTCTTTGTGGGGCAAAGCGAAAACCTCCTGGGCTGCAGCTGAGGTAACAAGTGCAACAGTTGGTGTAAAGCCTGGTGAACCCGGGGAGACAGTGAGCTCGAGCCCGGGTTCCCGTGGTGCTGGCGAAAGTAAAGTGGCTGCAGAAAGGAACGACCTACGCAGTTGAAGACCCATGTGCATGTGAAGCACAGTTTGCCAGTCAGGGCTGCGCACTCCGACGCGGACATCCGATCCGACTGCAGGTAGTCTCGGATTGTCTGGCTAAGCTTAGCAATCCTGGCCTCGCCTGGGGATGCGAACAGAGCCTGGTTTTGGAAGCTCCATTCTATCCCGAGAAGGGTTTGCTGGCGGTCGGGAGGCTTCGACTTCTCTTCTTTCATGCGAAATCCGAGCATTCTGTGGAATGCCTGAAAGGCTGCAAAGGCTCTGCTCGCTGTGGCTGCTTGTTCTATGGAGAAAAAGTCGTCTACATAATGTGCTGCGAACATCAGTAGTAGCGCGATGCTCAGAAACGAGACCACGTCGGCTACCCGTAAGTACCCCCACACTGACCCAACCGAACCGAAAGGCAAGGAGAAATGCGACCATAGTGTGGGTGGGTCGCCCGGCAGCAAAAGGCCGCACTCGTGCGGGTCCCTGACTGGCATGGACCTATAGGCCCCTTCGTGGTCTATAGCTGACAAGACCGGAGGCGAACGGAAGTCTGTGCTGCACTGGAGCGCGCCGGCGACAACAGTGGGGGCCCCCAAATATGGAGGTGTGTCCACCGTTGAGCTCGATTCCTGCCCTGAGCGGTTCCAGGAAAGCCTGTACCTTACTCCTGTCCGCGAACAAGTGGTGAAGTACTCCCGGAACGTCAACTCCCCGTGCTTTAAAAAGCATGCGAACGACTGGGTGGACTGCGGCCTTGTCGCACATCTGGTCGAAGGAGAGGTGCGCGGCCATGACCTCTCTCCTACTGAGATGAGGACGAAGAAGAGTCTGACGCTTCCTTGGGAAGCTCTGGGGGCTCGAGCACCGAAACAACCGCAGCTTCGTCAGGAAAGCAGAGTGGGCAGTGGCGAAAACCTGGCAGGACTGTGGGGTTGCGCTGACAGCTAGCTTTCCCGTACTTCCAGCGACCGCACGCAGATCTCCACTCGCCCGAAGGCGTCGAACACTCTGTAGCACACGGCTTGTGCGCCAACTTGGACCTGACGTTATGTACAAGCACTCCTTGTCCTCGAAAGCAGTCTGCGACCACGGCGCGGACCTGGTCCAACGCTGCAGGCAGCAGCGGAAGAGCCTTAGTGTGTCCCGTCGAGCGCGAACTGGCAGGAAGAACTGCTGTCCTGTCGACGACGGCTCGCGCGACCTGTGTTGGATCTGCGAGTGCTGCTTCTTGAACGTAGCGGCAGATCGCAGCACTGCCCCACCTGCCAATGAGCATGATAATGTGCAACCCGACTCCCGAACGGGCAAACATCTGCGACCCCGCGACCCGGAAGGCATGTTGGGCCCAACGAAGGACCACTTGACGCGGCCACACGGCGACCTCTCCTCCGCAGAGGACCCAGGCAAAGACCCTCGCCAACCACGCGACCTGTGTCTTTGTTGGCGGGCCTTGACCGTCTCCGAAAAACGGCGCCTCAGCCTTCCACAAACCTGCTTGGCGCAGGCGAACTGAGCATCGCAATGCCGCATGATATGGGCACAGCGGGTGCATACCCTGCGAACACTCGCACTTCTGAAGAGGAGTAAAGAGCAGCGCCTCGTCGCCTGACCTATTGCAGCCTGGGTCGTGCGACCGAACGCATATGCAGTATGCATGCGTAACTTGGGTGACAGCCCCTGGCCGTGGGGTCCGTTTTTGAAACGGGAAGCTCGAGCTTAACCAATCCTTCTCGTGAGAAGGTGACGTCGGCGCACACAACAGACGCAATCTCCAGGCCTCGCAGAAGGAACCACGCGGCCACGATCCCCACGTCTGAAGGCGACTCGATCCTGGAGGCTGGGGGAACTTGCAATGTATGGTATATGCTCTCTCGATATCCTTAGCGAAACTGCGGGAGCACCTTTCCAATGGGAAATCGAGCTTGGCAGCTGACGGCCCCGTCCTACGAGTGATCGAGCGAACTGCTTGTGCGACCGCGTGGTCAAGTGCTGGAGACCAGTCGTATCCCTGGGACCGATGCTCAGACTTAGCCACGCTGTAATACTGCGCGGCCGACCTATAGCGACCTTGCTTAAAGAGGGCGCCGATCTTGTCGATGAGGTCGGTCGTGACCGGCAGTGGAGGCACCTCGCATCTCTCGGCGAACGCGCACCAGAGCTTCCAACGAGACTCTCTGGGGCCCCTGGAAGAGTTGGCATACCTATCTGCCTGAAACTCCACATCAGCTTGCGAAAGCGAACTCTCGTTCTGTAGAGCTTGTAGTGCAACCTGCTGCGACCCTCGCTGGTACGGGTGTACGACCGGTGCGTCTGAGCGAACCCGAGGCCTGGCCACTGACCTAAACAGTCTGTCGACCGCTTGATCGCCGATCCACTGCCGAAGCAGGCTTCTTGAAGTATTCTCGAGCTGCACTGCTGAGCGAACTCCCCTAGCCCGGAGAGGCTCAACAGAGCTGTGTAGATCAACAGCTCCCAAAACATGGACGAGACTCGCGAACGAGTTCCTATCGTGGGGGCACTGAATATGGTGCATGCTCTTCTCGAGGAAAAAGCGGCTACCGCCAAAGGTTGCGAACAGGGAGAAGAGCGACCGCTAGCATGAGAACACGACTTTGAGGGGGGGGGCCTAGCTTGGTTGTGAGGTTCCCTGGGCTCAGCGAACAGTGTTTGCACATGCACTGCTAGGCGGCCGAACTATGCGAGGCACTCTAGTTACGGGGCGAACGACGCCTGGGCCTGAGACCTTGCACGGCACTTGCGCGACACTGTAGTAACCGACCGCGAACGACTCGGCTCTGCACTCTAAGCCCTTGCACAGCACTCTAGTTACACCTGCCTCGGCCTACCCTGCGACCTTCCAGAGGACCCTTGCAGACAAAAACAAAGCTTGCAGCAACACTACCTAAACCTGCGACCTTGCCACTGCGAACTCTGACTCGCACTCTAGCACTGCAAAGACTGACATGGCTGAGGACCGCTGCGAAAAAGACTCTTTCTTGCATTATGCTGCGAACAGCTCCGGTGCATCCCCCGAAGGGTCGGTGCCCGAAGGCGCGAAAAGGTCCGAAGACTCTCTGCAAAACGGCCCCGCGAACTGCCTTGCTAACGCGCACAGAGGTAAAGCTATCAAAGGCTCTTAGCTGCGACCTACAGCTTCGAACATGCTAGGGCTCCGGCAGATCGCTGCGACCTAGGTGCGCCTCGAGTCGAGACGCTTCGCGTTCTCATGGCACTGCGGACACAGGTGGTGTTCGTGAGGCTTACGTTAACCTGGGTTGTTGCGCCTTGGACACTTCCGCAGCCAGCACGAAGGACAGCGAACAGCGCACATCGACACCGTATCGGTGTACGGTGGCGGCTCGTCGCGAAACACTGTACCATCATCGACATCTGCTTGCGGCCATGGAGCTGGCAGGCCGATCGGCGCGAACTGGCCGCAAAGGATCGGCCCGGGGGGCCCGTGCTCCAAAGCGGCCTCCAAGTTGGGGAAGTCGACGGCCGGACGCGGACCACGTCGCTTCTGCGGGCGACGAGTCTGCGACCCTTGCGGGAAACTGCTGGCCTTTGGCTGCGAACTCGACCCCGAAGCTGCAGCCGAAGTGTCGGGCTGCGTGTCCCCATCTGCGTCCTGGCCGCCCTGTGCTGCGACCATCGAGTCCACTGCGACCTGCGACATCGCCTTCACTGGTGGTCCGCTAGGAGGATCAGCTGGAGCAGGTAGAGGTGGATCGTCGCGAACCGGCTCGAGGTCGCCATCCATAGCATCGAGGTCCACGACCACGGGCACGGTGGCGGCGGCCGATGCTGCATCAGCTGCGCGAAGAAGACCGATCGCATCCTCTCCGGTCAAGGGCGCCAGGTTCCCCGCGAACAAGTCCTGCATCTGCTTCGGGGTGGCCTTGAGCTTGGGCGCGACCTGGGCTTTCGGCGCTGTGGTAGTGTGCAGTCCAGGAGTTGGCGCGACCTCTGCTGTCTTCGGCGGCGGCGCAGTGCTTGCCTTGGCAGTAGCCTTCTTGCTCAGCGGACCCAAAGGCGGAGGGTCAGCTTTCGCGACCTCAGGACCCAAAGGAGGTGGGTCTGCCTTGGCCAGTTGCTTTGCCGCGACCGATTGCTGAGACGGCTTGGGCATAGTCGGCGGAGGCCCTTGCGAACTGTGCTGCGTCGAGCTCTTCGGCTTGGCCGGCTTCGCGACCTTGACCCGAGGCATTAAACTGCCTCGTCACCGCCAGCCCGAGCTTCTTGTGAAAAGCCGCGAGATCGGCGACCTCCACGCGGTCCAACAAAACCTCCACTTCCTCGAACGGCGAGTAGAGGACTGTGTGAACGGCTGCCCACAAGTCGGGAGTCTCGCCTTCACCCCATGAGCCGGCCATTGTCTGCTGTTTCCGAAGAAACAAAAAAGCGAACACCTAACTCGAACTGCTCCGCTCGGGCCTCTGTACTGCGAACATGTTGTGTTCGCTCGACCCTCGCTCTAGCAGTTCTCGTTACGCAACCTTGTCACTACGAACACACGTGTTCTGCACAACAAGGGCGGTCTGGAGGAGTCTCATATCATAGCACATAGACAAGTGGCAAGTAGATCATTCCTGGCTTGGTGCATCGGACATTGATAGGGACTCTTTGTTGTCGCTTTCGGCATTGGGCTCAGAATGGAATGATCTTGGCTGGGAGTGTGTGTGAGTGTGCGGGGGCTCTTGAGAATGCAGGTTGCCATTCAGACTAAGGGCAGGTTCAGGCAAGTCACGGACAAGTTTTGAAGACGCCGGCTTTTTGACTCGTTCCATTCAACCCCAAACGGTAAACCCTATTTTCCCAAACTGCAAAGATGCTGACCAACTTTGCCCTCGCCTGGGTGAACTGCGACAGCCTCAGGGACGCGTCCTGATCTGCACTGCTTCGCTTCTTAAACGCTCTAACGACAACAAAGGTACTAGTGAGAATCATCATCTAATCATGGTAACGGCAATGCCATCGCCGCCGCCACTACCACGCCGACGGCTACTGTTGGTTACAACACCAACAATATTCTCAATAAGAGCAGTACTGATGACTTAAATCATAATTAAAGCACCAATGCTAATCGTAGCAATAATTCTGCAAATGCCCTCTGGTCGCTGTAGGCCCAGTGAACTGTAGCTCTACCCGCGAGGGCTCTCCTGGGGCTCGTCCTTCCCATCGTCGACCTGCCAAGTTCCGAACTAGAACCCCTCGGGTAACTATAATTATAACCCATATTAGGGGACTTATAACCATACTTATAACTACCCATGAACCTCCAACTAAGGATGCAAAATTCTGCAAAAGGATCTGCGCTTGCCTGCCAAAATGATGGGGGCTTGTAGACGACGCACCGGTCGCCCAACTCCTGTGCAGGCTAAGCGACCCTGCATCTCCCGTGACTTAATTGCAGGCATTCCGACCTGTGCTCGTGTGATTTGACTCAAGCTGGTGTTCTTATGGCAGCATTCTGTAAATGGCATCTCTGCCCAGAAGGAACAACAAAAGGATGACCCAAGATGCACAAACTGGTGTGCAACCCCTTCTTGGTTTGTTGCACCGGTCTCCAGGAGGTTTGAGAAAGCAGAAGTCTTCTCAGCTCTGAGCACCAGGCGAGAACCACATGAGGAAATCCAGGACCAATCGGATCTCCTCTTACACTTAATCATTTGGATGCTGTGCACAAATTGTGAATCTTTTTTCTAGCCGAAGAAGGGCAGGGTATGGGACACGTCTCATCGCAAGAACGACCCTCGCTGAGCTTCCCTCCTTGCGTGCCTTGTCTGGCCTGCTGCGTGGAAACGAGCGAGACACTCGGAGAGAATCGGCTCCCGATATTTTGCAGCAGTGTCCTGCGTCGGATCGGTGCTGAGAACCGCTGAGCGAGTGCATGTACACTCCGACTGGAAATTGATTTGCCTTTAGGGCGGGAGCTTCTCTTTTCTGACTGCTGTTGCTGGATGCGTGCCTCGCTGCACGTACTGTCCGTCTCCCAAGCTGGCCCGAAAATTGGCATGCCCACACCGTATCCTTGGATTTCACAAGTGAAGAAGCTTCAATACCAAAGACGAGGAAGAACTGGCATCAACGGCCGCGCGGATTCTGAAACAAACGCCGCGCGTCGAGCACACGAGCTGCAAGATCCTGCGATCTTCTGACTTGTGAGGGCTTTGCAAAGGACTGGTGGCCCCAGGATGCTAGAAAGCCAAGACGGGACTGGTCTATCGGCAGTCTGAAATTCCACTTCAGCCAAACAGCACCGCATACTCACAGCCAAGCAATGCCGGTGTCGACAACCCAACTTGTGACTGCGAAAGTCGCCAAATGTAATCGGAACCCTCGTGGCCGTGGGCCTGAAGCACAGCAGGCGCTGCTGGCAGCTGGGAGCTTGCGGCTTGGGAGATCAATTCATCCTGCCTCAGATAAACATGTCAAGGTGTCTTGGTCTGTCCAGACTGTGTGGCCTGGCCTGGAGCAGGATCATGCGGTGCTACTTTGCTCTATTTGTTCAAGGTCCAAGGTGCACAGCTTGGAATAAGCGGACGGCTTGCAGGCTGCTGGCACAATTCTCGAAGCAGCTGCCGGCCTGAGATGTCGGTAACATATTCATGTGTCACTCGCCTTCCGCACAAGTTCGCACGGGCTTTCGGTTGGGCGTCGGGTGAGGCAAAGCACAGAGAGGAGGTGCTACCGTGTCTGCCGGCACTGGCTCCTTTGCTGGTGCGTTTTGTTTTGAGCAAACTGAAGTCTAGGACTGTCGCTTGGACGATCCACAAGACTCTTTTCGGTTTCACCAACGCGCGTCTGCTCGGCTTCTCCAGCCCAACTTTGCAGGCTCTGCACAGAAATTGGGGGAGTGAGCGGTCTACGTTCAAGGGCATTGTCGCCACGCTTGGCGATCATGCATGTCCAGCATCAAACAGATGTGGAGAGGAATTGCTATCATCGGTCACAACGCCTTCTGAGCTGCGCATCCCTGATGGTCTGGCAAAGCTCCTTCGGAACCTGACGAACTTATCAAACCCCTCGAGTGTGCCCACTAGCCTTAAGTGGCCGAATACGAGACTGAATCGGCCTTGCGTCCGAAGGCGAAGCTGTAGTAGCCATAGGCGCCATGCATGCAGCCACTTTCCAAGCCACGTTGGGCAGCCTCGGGCAGCAAATTCGTACTGGTGTTGCCGGAATTCTGCTTCTGCAATATTAGAGACGTCATGCATTCCTTGCTTGACCGATAAAGCCGGAATGAAGGAGAGTGGGCAGCAGGGATAGATGAAACTCTTGCCTTGCAGACCTTCTCCACCAAGCGGAGGTTGTCTAAGTTCCTAAGGCACTGTTGGAAGCTGGTTCCAGAAGGTCGGCTTCACATATTTCTCCGAGGCTCTCTTTGAACGTCTGCATACCCACCCCATTTGTGCAACCGATCAGGCAGCCTCGAGCACGGCCGCCACAACCTGCTTCAAAGTGTCACAAGGCGAGATGGCGAGATCTCGGTGCCATGCTCTGTGCTGTCTCGCTCAGTGCCTGCCTTTCTCGCACCAGCGCAGTGCTTCAACGTAGCTTCGTGGTCGATGCAAGAGGAAAGCAGTCGGCGAATACATGTAGCCTCAACGAGGACACAAGACTTTTTAATTGACAGCCGTTTCCAACAAGCTTCCAACTTTGGGCCATTTCTGCTAAGCTTCAGTCACCTTTCCCCTGTCCGTTTCCAGCATTTGTATCAGTGCAGACTGAGAGCGCACCTGGCCAGGAGAAGTGAATTGGGGATTTGGGATCTTATTATCATTAGCAGCTGGGAAAACAAGAGAGTTCGAGGTAAGCCGAATGCATTAATTATAGTTCGGCACGGACCCATGTTCGACTTGGTACGTTCAGAGTTCAGACGCACGGTTATCCGTGAATCACCGTGAATCCTTACGGATCTGTCGGTTCCCAGAATACTTTGCAAATTATCTGGGTTCGCGCAGTTTGTCGAATGATGACGAAGGGCCTTGTGCATCGTCCGCATCGTGGCCAGACACAGTTGTCGAGGCGAAGTGGTCCATCCAAATGCCATTCCAGAGCCTGGGATGACGGCAAAACTCGAGCACCTCAATGAATCCAACCAGAAGTACTCATGCTCACGTCAGGTAGGGTGTTTCTTTAATTTAAGGTCGTTCTTTGCAAACGAACAGAAGTTTGACGATACCCTGAAATGGTCAACCCCGTTCAACTCTTAAATCAAAGATCCCGGCTTCCAGAAGCTGTCTGAGTTCGCCGGGGTTGAATACTTTTCTCAGTCAGGTGACGTTGTATGCTGCCCCCGGACGACAGTGGAGGCTTGAAGGGACTGCTTCAGTCCCTGGCGAGTGCTGACGTCACCTGCCGGCAGCCATAGCTTCAAGAAATGGCGTGACTAGCACAAAGACATGCAGTCGATCACGAGGTCACAAGGTCCTACTAGTATCGTCTTGTCTTAAGCGAGCGGCGGAAATACTGGACCACGCCATGACCAACCCCGTGGTAGCACCTCGCAGCAAAGCGCTGCTCTGCTCTGCTTCCAAAGGAAACACTTGCTCTGCCGCCAGGGCGCTCCCACGGAGGCCGGAAATCGCCTCCCATGCGCTGACACACCTCGCCAACGAGAGCTGCACAGCACGACCAGCTCGAACTCTCGTCCTTCTACCTTTGGATCAGCTGGCCTAGTCTGCTCTGATTGCATGCCGAAGCTCATGCGATGCCACAAATCGTGTGGCCGCTTCGAAGTGTCCAGCCGAACCTGCTCAAAACTGCGGGCTCGGCCTTCGACATGGGCCTGTTGTATGTGTTTCTGTCCCGAACCTGCTTTGGAAAGGAAGAGCTCAATCGCACCATGTAGATATGCAGCATTGCATACCATGAGGAGCTGCACGTCCTGCCTGACAAGACTGATTCCGGTCCAGGGTTCAGGGTCTTAGTTGACATTGCCTCGACGCAGCGGCACCAGGTTTCGCTGAGTCCGGAGAGCTTGTCGATCCTCGGCCACTCAAGTCTACGGAACAGCTTCGAGAATGCCAAGTCAAGATTCTTCCAGATGATGATTGCTCTCTCTGAATTCCGAGCTCACGAATCCCAGACGTACCCTGGAACTCAGCCGTGACCAAAGAACAGTACCTGGAGCTAGAGAAGCTCTCAGCAGTAAACGAGATCCAAATCCATACTGGGAACCAAGCAGATCGATGAATTGATCTGTGCACCACCGAACCAAGCAATGGAAGCACACTGAAACCCTTTCCCATACTGATTGCAAGGTACCGCTTGACACAAGGGCGGCGGCTTCCCGGCGTGCATTCTCGTCAAAGCTGAGAAGAGACCCCAGTACGTTGACGAGACCGTCCTCTATCGCCAATTGCGACCCGCACACGACGGGACAGAGAGGGTGTTTCGGCAAGCTTCAGAGTCCGCAAAAGCGCATGCAGTTTGCAGACATGGCGGCCCTACTATCTCAGCTCTGTTTTTGAGAAGGGGTCGGTCGTGGTAGGTGCTAGCTGCCAAACGAATCGCAAGGCCGATGCTCGATGCTGTCAGGTGCCGTCAAGTCCTTCTTGGCTTCTCCTAGGTCCTGGGCCTATGACATGTAACAATGTAAGGGTTGAGGCAAAGATCCCCGTCCTTGCCCGCTTCGAAATACAGTGTTCTGCCAAGTCTGTGTAGCAGGGGATGGCAGGCATCCAAAAAATGACGATTCTGCTTCAGCAGCTCCTCTGCCTTCATCAATGCCTGTCTGGTGCCCTGTCTACGCACGAGTTGGAGGAGATCTTCGAGGATGGTCGTGCCCTCCTCTGTGTACACGAACCCATAAGATGCAGGAGCATCACTGTTGTTTGTGTCGCTGCCATTTGCCAGCATCGAGCTTTGCAATGCTTGGCAAGGCTTACACGGTTTACACTCTGCCACAGAAGGTGGCCTTTGCATGAATATCCACATGGTGGCCATGCCGCCCAAGTACGCTGCCAAAACGGAAACACACAAGTAACTATGCGATCGCAGAATATATCGTGATTCCATGGCTGAGCCACGGTCGGTCAGCAGACCTCTGTCCTCACCCACGGCACCACCCAGGGTTTTGTTTCCCACTACGACGGCATTGAGGTCACGGTCATCACCGCCTGCTTCGCTGGAATGACCGTTCGAGATCTCATGAGCAATAGCTGGCATTGCAACGAAAGAGAAGTACTAAAGTGTGTCCTCTTCGGCAGCTGACTTTCGAATCGCTAGTCGCCTGATGCTTCGAGCATAAATATAAACGTATCAGGCTTCATTACATGGTCGGCTGCTAGCTTCGCTCGGCTTCTGGTTTCGACGGCAACAGCAAGAGGAACGTGCATGCAAGTGCCAAAGCTTGGCGGCATTTCGGCCCAGTGGCTGCGGATTTCTGGATCAGCAAAGCAACAGAAAATCCATCCAACATGTGCATCTCAGGGTCTTCTGCCTGTTGGGGACCTGTTCAATTTTGGGGCAGTGGGGCACCTCTACCTGATGAGCTGCATGGGTTGCGATGGATGCAGACAGCACCTCTGGGCAATGCCTCTTGTGGGATAAGTAGCCGTAGCACTCATATTGAATATGTGCCGAGCAGCAGATGACATCGCGAGGCTCGCGAGCTCTCGGAACGGCAGACCCCGCACGCGGTGGTTGTGAAGAAAATAATCGAAAGATTTGGCCAGCAGGCGCGGCTCCGCGAAAGTGATGGAAGCCTTTGCTTGATCAGGCTCAAAGATGCCGTGTTGTCTTCTCAAGCCAGGCCATACGAGGCAGCACTTTGCATGCGCTGGTGAAGCCAGCCGTCTTAGCGGAACAGAGGCAGAATCAAACCCACTGGCGAACTGAGCAATGAAAGTGCGTGTGACAAACTCTGATATGCCGTCGCACAAAACGTCTCACACAGTGGGTGACTTGGTTGGAGACCCGTCATCGGCAACCTATCAGTATCCTCCCGAACCGCAGCACGGCATGCAGTGTGTTTCCGTGTGAAAATAGTTCGCAGCTTTCTGAGCATGTAGCTGACAACATTGAATGCTGACAATATGCTCATGACATCATGGCTTTCAGCAGTCTTCAGATGAGGTGCCAAAGACCACACCAAGCTCGCTAGCTCAGAGGCCTCAGGGTACCGCCAAAAGCAAGAGCAAGACGTCAGCAAAGGCTCTGCAACTTCGGACGCCTGGAACGTGTTCATGGCCTGCAGGGCGGACTCTGTTATCTCCTGAGTTGATGCAGACTTCCAGCCTCACCGTGCAAGACAACAACTGGAGCTTGCCCAGAACTATGCCCTCTTTCAGCATCCTTGTGTTCATAGGTTAGCAAGAGATTGGGTATTGCCAAGGAAACCCTCGTTTCGAACAGCCCCCATCTGCAAACATGGCAACAACTTGAACTGAGAGCATGGGTTCCGTGTGCATCCTTTTTCTCTTCTCTCGTTGATGCCGCGGCACAAATGCCTCTCGCTGGATGCTCGAAGCCTGCGCTGCTGTCTCTGGCCTCTCGAAAATCAACATTGCCAGGCATGTGCACAAGCAACAATCACATCCTAGCAAACCCTACGACAACATGTGTCGATGAAGAACACCGCTGAGGCAGGCACCTCGCAGACTCCGGTGATTTGGCCAGTGCCCAGGCTCTTTGGCTCAGGTCCTGCGTAGAAGAGTGCGTATCTTGAGCTTTTGCCTCCTGATGAACAATATTGGCAATACTGACAAGTTCGAATCAACAGTTCGAATGTTACTCGCCAGATGATGGTACTGTTAACAACAATGGGCCAGCAGTAGTAATCATGGTGGGGCGAAACCCTCCAGCCAAGCAATGAGAAGTGTTGGAAGTCCTCATCCATGCAAGGTGTCGCACGCAGAAGTGCAAGCGCTACCCTGAGATGCATAGTGGTTACGAGCATCTGACTGCATGTCGGGTCGAATGTATCCAACGACTGAGGAGCTTGGTAATGCCAGATTTCATGTCAGAACCGCATGGGCGAATCGTTCGCAGCTCGGTTTCCAAGCTAACTTCCCCCACCGTCTTGAGTCTAAAGGCTGATAATAAGCTATAATATGACTCGAGGTTTCCAAGTTGTTCTACCATGATTTTCAAACCTGCGAGGTGCTGCCATCGTCGGGCCCGCTCCGCCGCTTGTCCGCCGGCTCCCAGGTGCAGAGCCCGTGTCCAGGCGCTGACAGCTGTACCTTGTGCACGGAAGAATCCCTTGAGTGAAGTAGTAATATAGTAATAAAACTAATTCTGAGGCATTCGAAGGCAGAACAACGTGCCCCTGAACTGAACTTCGGAAGGTAGTCTGGCACATTTTCGCAGACGTCTGCAAGCCAGGCTGCATGCACTGACGGCGATACGATGCGCGACACGGTCTGGCCTACGAGCTCGGGGTCGATTCTGCTGACACGAGCGGCTTTGCATTGAGCCTTAATCCGAGGCCCTCGAGCATTGTCAGTGCTTGTGACCAGCAGCCAGCCTCACATTGGCACGAATCACAAACTGGAGCCTGTGGCCCACGAGCTCTGCTGGCAAAGGCGTGCCCACCCAAAGCATCATCTGCAGCTGGGACACGCGGCTGCAGGCAGTGGCGGCGGCATTTCGAGTTTCGATAGCAGGTCTGACGCAAACCTGCACTAGGACCGTGACTAGTGACAAGTGGTGAAAACATGCAGGACGAACATAATAAACAGCCCGACCTCTGGAATAGTTGCAGAACAAATGCTTAGCAGAATTGATGATGACCATAATCACAACCAAGCCGCGATTGGTGCCGCATGCCTGCACTCGCACTGCAAGCTACCCTTACGAAGCATGAAGGCATACACAGACCCCAGACCCACTCCAGCTGCTGAAGGCCCTGTCGGCCATGTCTTTCAACCAGTGACCAGTGCACATCTTGCAGGTTCAGCACCTCTGACGGCTTGTCCTGTGCCAAGTGGCAAGTACTGAAGAGCCTTGGACCAAACCAGGCCGGCATCACATGCGCTCAGCAGTGATGTCAGGACTCTGGAGTTCAGGCTCACCTCAACAAAAAAGCGGTTCATGATTCATGGGAATCAGGGGTCAACAATTTCGATGAACCCTACAGTCTACGAGGAGGCTGCACGACATAACTTTATGGCAGGTGCGTTGCTTAACGTCGCAAGCTTCAGTCAACTTGTTGCACATGCTTTTGCTGTTTGGTTCCCCGAGGCCTTGGAAATGCACCGCGAGGCTGTGCCATCATCACTCCGGGATTTATGAAACTCCTGGAAACAGGGTTTACTTGAGAAGCTCGAACCTAGCGTCAAACCACTGTCAGCTGGGTTGGGGGACTCATAGCCAGATATAGCAGCATAGCAACATAAACCAGGCAAGATTCATGATTCAGGAGCTTGCGGGTTGATCAATCTGAACTACGTATCTTAGGAGGATATAATCCCACGTTTTGGTCCCACGCAAGACAGGTCGCCTGCGCAGTGGCCATGCTCGTCGCGGTGTGCAAAGCAAGTGGCCAGGTTCCAGTGCTTGCGACTGCGCCAACTGCTGCACCGAATGCAACCACATCCTGAAGGCTGTCTGAGCTCGGCAGGGTTCGGCAGTCTCGAGAGCGGTCTAGATTCTAGGTTGATCATTCGGAAGGAAGACGCTCACCACCGCGGCCATCAAGACCTTCCTTGAGGGGGCCGGACATCCTTTCCCTTCCACAAAAGCCAACAAGTGGTAGAGTCTGGTAGAGACAGAAGTATCGATGCTTGCTCGCTCTACTACTCCAACAAACAAAGGAGTTTCACCTCGGTGCATGCAGTCTTACCAACCTCCATGTGGAACTGCATCTTAACTCACTCACTAAAGCTGTCCAGAGCCTAGAGATTTCCGACTTGGAGTGTCAAACGTGGGTGCCAAGGCACGACCCCTCCGAGAAGCTGCTGAAGTGAAGTCAAGGAATCCACCGCCACCTCTGCACTTCCAAGGGGTCACAAAGCTTCACAGCTTCAGGATCGTCTCTCCCTCACCTATCGTGGAGACCGTGGAGATGGACTCAACGTTGACAAGGGCATCGCTGATTGTGCTCCACTGGACCCCAATAGGAGCTAGCCTTTAGTTTCCTCAACCATCAAGTCCCATCTTGTGGGTCTTTATGCCTGCCCTGAACTTTCCCGGTCTCAGACCGCTCACCTTGAATGAAGAACCCTGCTGCCAGGCGTGAGAGCTCGCGAGCAGATACTGATCTGTGCCTTCTGTGTAGCAAACCCAGCTCGCCTCCCAGCGTTGCTGCCCTGCCGCGCCGAGTGCACCGCTGAACACAACCGGATCCTTTGCATCTCTCGGAAAAAATGCCAGGTGCCATGCATGCAGCAGCCTTGCATGTAACACCAAGTCCGATTCCGAAACGGTGGTGCAGTTCAGAATAAATGCGCGTGCCACACATGCATTACTTACGAGACTTACTCAAATGGAGGGTCTGTTGAGCCGGGATGGCATTCTCCAGGATGCTGCCAGGAGTGTCTACAAGATCTGGGCTGCGATCGAGTCGCATACTGCGCTTTGGCTTGCGCCATGTCCTTATCACAAGCACTGAGGGCTGGAGGAATGACGCGGGAGATGCGGACAAACAAGCGAACTCAGGACCAGTGGACATACTGGACTACTTCTTCCTGCATGTTTCTCAAGCACCACCTCTTCCTGAAGCCACGTGTGAGTTAATCTGACTGCCAGGATGCTCGCACATGCTCGAATGCCAACTCCCAAAGACCACCTCCTGTGTATTTCCAGCAATGCTTCCGGCGTAAGCGCAGTCGCAGCAACTTGCCATGCTTGCCAACATGGCCCGAGGCTTGATTCACTCCTGAGCTTCGGACAAACAAATACCTGTTGAGATTCGCGTTTAAAGTCCTCGGCAAAGATTGATGGCAGCCGAGAAGGATCTTCCGTCCTGAAATGAAGCTGGAATCTAGTTTTGTACAGCGGAAACTGAGAGGCTGAACCGAACCAGCAGCTTGACCGTGCAAGCGTCGGGCTTGATGCCGCATGCCTGCATTGCCTCCAGAACAAAGCAGCTCTGCCTCCAGCCACAAGCCTTAGCATTCTGACAGAGACACATGACAACACTACTGTCTGCCGGGATCTACATGGGCCTTGAGGCCCACATTGTAGTGGATCTCATTGACTTGCAGCTGAAGCTTGGCCAAAGCCTCCAAATCGCACACCAAGCTTGACAGTGCCAAAGATTCCTCCTTATGCCCAGTGTCAGCTCTGTGCCTGCAGTGCTGCAAGGGCCTCCGGCCAGTGTCGTAGCGCAACGAGCCTCTGTTGCGCTCGGACCCTTCTGCATAAAAGCCAGACACTTGCAAATGCCTGTGCAGCAGTGTGCAGTAGCTGCAGCACTGAAAACTGCAAACAGCAATAGGGAGTGCTTTTTTTTGCCCTGCATCTGCATGTCCCCATATTTGGCACAGCCACAGGGATGTCGCCCGCTGCGGCGAAGATGCGGCCAGTCCTTGGATCCGTGCTTGGGGAAAAGTGGATCATCATCATCTACTACTACTACTACGACGACGACGAGTACTACTAGTACTACGACTACTAGCACTACTATCACCACTGCTCCGACGGCTACTGCTACAGCTAGTAGTGGCAGTCGTGGTGGTAGTAGTAGTAGAAGAAGTAGTAGTAGTAGTAGTAGTAGTAGTAGTAGTATTGCAGTAGCAGTAGCAGTAGTAGTAGTAGTAGTAGTAGTAGTAGCAGTAGTAATAGGAGTAGTAGTAGTAGTAGTA